TTTATTTGAGTTTCTTGGCTGTGTTATAGCAAAATGTATTACTGTGTTGGTGTGCCGTGTTTTGACCACGTTTGGGCATGAGTCATCACAATGGAATGCAGGGCATCAACCAATAGGCATGCAGCTTTCCTCTATACTTCTTGCTGATTGGCTGTTGGGATTTAACTTGATTAACACCCGCACAGAGCATTTCCACCTGCACAGAGCATTTCTTGCTGATTGGCTGTTGGGATTTAACTTGATTAACACCTGCACAGAGCATTTCCATACTGACAGTATGTCTTTATTCAAGTGTTTTGGTAGGTATTTCAAGCTTTTCTGCTCCAGCATTGGAATGCGGGGCATGTAACGTTTTTTTTTTTTTTGTAAAATCAACAGTTTGCATTATGCAATTAAAAATCCTAACCAATAAAGTAGGGAATAGCTATCCAACTGTTGTTTTAGTTGTATGTTACTTCATATTATAGTTATATCAATGTAAATCATTGTTTTCCCTTGTGTTTCTCATTCTTTCCCTGCCATGTGGTAAAATGTGGTGAACCCATCGCTGTATTTGCTCCAAAGCAAATATTGGCCTTTCTAGTTTTGTATATAATATTATCATGCTCTGTTCGGAACTCTGAAACTTAGCGGATACACAGCGTTCACGGATGGATTCCAGGCTATCTAACCTCCACCAGTCCATACTGGGTTTATATCATACATGTAACATGAAGTAGGTGTATGTTGGTTTATATTGGCTGCAGTGACTATTACCACCTACATGTATGAAGTTTAAATTTTAAAGAAAAATGGCATTGGTTTCTGCAGTGTTTGGTATGAGTCATGTACTTCCTAAATTCTGAGTGGTGCAGGTAAAATTTGTCTGGTACAGGTAATGTTCAATGTTATCTGCACCATTGCTGGTATTTAGGAAAATGTGTTTCAAGTCCATTGAGTGTACCTACTACTGCATTGTTACCTCTTTATGTAGGAATTGTTTCTTGGACATGCATCTCCAAGCTAAGTTTAGGATTCGTTTGTGGGAATATACATGTAGCTGCAACATATTCACTGACACAGTACAAGAAATGCACCGTACGAAAAAATCTGAGGTTTGCAATGTAACCGATACGTCTGTATCATGTTCAGCATACAAATGATGACTTTCCTGGGAACAAGACTCAGAGCAATAATCAGGGTTTTGTGTATAGCTTAGCTGACTTATAATCCTGCCAGTGACTATACACTATACAAAACACACTGATTCCTTGATTTATATGCATACTAATATGTTGTAAAGAGGATTAAAACTCAATGGAAAACATCTGAGAGCATTAACATGCCTTCTTGTGACTTAAAGCTAAGACATCAATAATGTGATTTTCCTGTACATTTAGAATACAATACAGAATACACCGTATTGTACATGTATTCCATTTATTTCATACCCACCTGATAAAACACATACTTAAATGCAAAATTTGGTGTCCCTAAACAATTAATTGTAACAACATCAATTCCAACATCCGAATCTGGTATTCCAATTTTCGCACAGGCTAAACACATTATTTTGAATTATTCTATGGAACATCTGGAAGCCCATGTGATAACCAAATAGAATGTGATAGCTAGTTTTCACAAAGGCCAGAACACCCGTATCGAGCATTATACCATGAACCAGATATGACATTAAAAATGTTAAATGTAATTAAACAAAAGGTCAACCTTAGTCTAGTCATTGTATCTTTAGTGACATGCAATAATTCCACATGTCATGCTGTGTTTTCAGCTGAGATGGCATACCTGGTTATCTCCTCGTGTAGTTTGGATGGCTCTGGTGGGTAGAACTTCACACGGAAGCAAAGCAGGAACGGAGGGTTTGCTGGGGTGGAAAATGAGACAATTGCTGAAACTTTAAAGTTTTAGTGCACTGTACAAAATGTAACAGTAGTAGAAACATGTATAGTGTGTCTTCTTACAAATGATTTAGGAGAAACATTCATTGGATTGAATGTACATAACAAACATCCAAATCAAATATCTGCGAAATTATGTTTCATCTTCTTCATTTTGAAAGCATATCTTGGGTTCAAAAATTCTGCCTGTGATACCTTTACATCTATGATGAACTGTTCATCTTAAATAGGCAGTCAATCAAGAATAAGGTCAATGTGGGGACTAAGTGGGGTGACTGTGCCCTTAGAAAAAATCTGGCATGTTCTGTCAATGTCCAAAAATGAATAAGAAAGATATCAAAACTTTTGTGATTGTGTGGGAAAAATGCAGTTTCCCACAGGGGGTATGTTAAAACCAAGCTTAAGATATCGCTTTCATATGATATGTGTGTAAGGTAATATAAATAATGAACTATTTGAAATCTGTATTCCTTGAAGGGTGTTATTGATTCCCTCACAAGGGAGGTTATACAAGGAATGCATATCAAATCAAGGATCATGAATGATATACTGGAAGAGCCAAAAATGTCTATAAAACGTCTAGCGGACATTAGACATGATTTAGACATTGCTGAACAAAGGCCAGTCGGAAGAACATTAAGTAGACATTTACTGAAAAACAACATCGAAATAACTCAAGGTGGACATTTTATATCCACAGTCTCTTCACATGTCAGGTAGGGACACCCCTAGGAGACAGTTCTTTGTTTAGCACAATGCACACTTATAAAGATATTAGCGTCCGTCCGTTAATTAATTTGGTCCCGCCCTCTAAATTGCCTTGGCTTTATGCAGTGCTTTTTCATATGCATGCAGGTTTTCACAGTTTTTTCTAAAAACATTCTGACAGACAACTCAAATGAACAATTGAAAACACAACAAGCAAGTCCTCCCCAAAAAGACCCAGTGTAAACACCTGGGAAAGACATTCTTACAAATGTTTAAAAAATGTGCGGAACTTTTGATAATGTCCAATGTCCGTTAGCCGTTGTATAGACATTTTTTACCCATACCATCGATACAAAAAGCACATGATTTGTGTTCTTCTTTTACGAGTAATGGAAAATGTCAATGTCACAATTTTGTGACAGTCACATAAAATAGAGAAAGGGATTCAACAGCAAAAGTAACATAATGCTCAAAGTGTATAATAACAATTATTATAGCTAAGGATAGATGGAGACTTACATTTCATCTGCTTGCATACATTCTTGATTGGATCCAGCCAATGCTGAGTAATTGAGAGAAACAGTAACATTAGGAGACTCAGTTAAACCTGCAGTTATATTTATACAGTCAAAGCTGCCCAAATGACCACCTCTTCAAACCAACCACCCGGCCTGGACATGGAGACCGCTTCTTATTGGTCTCCAAAATTTTCCCTATTGATGAAAGCCCATTAGGTGACCAGCTGGCCAATGCGACCACGACCATCGTCAGTGTTCGAAATACCCGTCTGTAGTCTACAATTTGCAGAAATATTTTCAAGATTACAGAATGAAAAATTATACAATCTGCAATTTTGCAGAATGAAAAAAATCAGGCTTGGTTTTCTATGGTTCTCACAAACAGAAGGCACACAATTAACAACCCGTTATTCCCTTCATTTTGATCTTTATTTTTTATTATGACTTTATTTCGGCCAGCTTCGTCATGCAAATGAGCCTAGTCATGACGTCACAGCCTGAGCCGGTCCCTGATCACCTGAGTTGTGATTATGTCTCAGTCAGTGGACGCTCTGTCAAAGGCGACCGCTTTTCTTGGGACCTCTGTGTGATCGCCTTGGCCTGGACTGTACATTTCCTTGTCATAGTGACGTGTGTTTTCTGAAACTCCTACACATTTCCCAGACAAGCACCACTAGCAGGTAGTTTCACATAGTTCACCTACCCTTTGTTTCTCAGCGTCAACAAACCGCAGCCCAAAATAGTCCTTTTCCAGCAGGTTGAGGTTGCCGCACACATGGTCAATCAGGAACTGTCCTTTGGAATCTTTCTGTGGGAGAAATATGACATCAATAGAGACATTTTCTCTGGCTGCATGACTGAGCATGGTCTAATTGAAGTAGAAACTTGACTTTAGGTGAATGGTACTGGTAAATCGTGATTATCATAGAGCACAAATATTTCTCTGTATAATTCCAGTTAAGGAATTTTGTTTTCTGTGTGTTTGCTTGTGTTTCCCTGCTTATTTCCATATGAGTAGGTATGTCAGAACACTGACAGGAAATTACAAATGTACATGTAGGTCAAAGGTTCCAGGAAGGTCCCAGAAATGGTTATCTCATTTCCTGCCTTCAATTTCCTGTTATACATTAATTTTACGTCTGTTGCATTGTGGGAACCAATGTGAAAATGCATCTGTTAGACAGAATTAGTGAGAAATTCAGAAACAAGAAATTCACTGAGGAAACATTTCACGGAGGTATGAGATCTTTGATTAATTCCTGACTTTCCATAATGTCTCTACCCGTACTTAATATAAATTAAAGTATAATGCAGGATCAACCCACAGGACAGAGACAAGTGTCGAGCGACCATCAAGCCCCAGATGTATAGTGCAAGCACGTCTAACCCTCGGAAGACGGGGAACAACAGACGATAAACCGGACAGTAAGTGTGAGCTGGAGGCCCTGTAGAGTTTCCTGCATCTTACACATTTTCAGTCAGATCAATATGAAATTTTCCTTAGACTGGAACTAAAAATTTTTCATTTTCAAGTTGGCTTTAAGAATGATTGAGTTATTTGACTTATTAAGTATAAAAACATGCGTCCCCTCTTTCAGAATGAATTCTTCTTGTGACCCCACATTATGTTTAGGTCCAGTTAAAACACTTCCACACACACAAAATCACATTTTCACAATCAACAATTTCAAAATTGAATTCTAAAGAAATAACTACTCCCTTATTTAAGAACATACAGACACATTTCCACACAGAATGTAACTTATGTAGTATTTATCTGATCACCCCTGTTAAACATTAAATTTGATACTAATTGGAAGAATTATATCATAGTAGTTAATGTATTGTCATGCAGGTGCGTAAAAACTGCACCAGACATTATGCCAAACTTTTACCCCATAATCATACTAAGGGAACAATATCAACAAAAGTTCAATGACCTTACATGTACCTACCTCACAATGTGTATCTGTAGCTGATTTAGTTAAAAGATTTAAAATATGGTTTAAAAATTGCAAGGTATATAAAAATCTAGGTTTTGTGACATGTATGAACAACTATGTAAGAGGTGCTAGTGTCACGGAAATGAAAAGAAACCTACAGTGGACCTCACTTGAAGACAGAAGAAAGATGTCTAGACTATGCATGATGTACAAAATGACTAATAAACTGGTGGATGTCCCAACTACTAAGTACCTAATACCAGCCCAGAAGAGAACAAGAAATAGCCACGCATTCAAGTACCAGAGTTATCAACCAAGGATTGAGGTGTTCAAGAATTCATTCTTTCCTAGAACTATCGCAGAGTGGAACTCACTGTCACCAAGTACAGTAGGGGCACTGTCAATAGATAGCTTTAAACAATGTCTAAAGCTAGAAGTTCAAGGGTTAGGTGGAACAAGTCGATCGGTGTAATATAGCCAGCTGCCGCCGCGCCGCGTGCCTGCGAAGCTGGTGTGTTACGCCGAAAGGCGGTTATACCGGCTATACAGATACAGATACAGATGTTTCCACCGAATACAACCCAAGGCACTCTATTTCCTGGCCAGTACTTCTTCTAAAAAACAAGGTTCCTATTATAAGTTATTATGCACAGGTGTTCTTTTAGCAGATAAAGCAATTAACTTTAAGTGAACAGCCAATCAGCAACCACATCTCTAATCAGAGACACCTGCTCCTGTCTCTATGCCCATATATGGGCATAGACCTCCTGTCCACATGCCCAAATATGGTCACACTCCACACTGCTATAGTACATTTCCTATAACACAGCCAAAAAGCCCAAATAAAACCATTCCAAAAGCCTGTATCATGAAAAAACAGCCTGGGGGTATTTGGCCACTGCACCTTCATGCCAAATTTCATGCTATTTGGCCAAAAATGAAGAAATTGAATCCATTTAATGAATATTAATCGATCAGAAATATTTCAGGTTTTGCATTCTTCAACAAACATGCTAGATAATCCGTAATCCTGAGGCACTGCTTGGAAGACTTTACAAAGAGATATTCACATTCTTTCCACGCATCTGATATATAATGGATGGTAGAAAAACCACATCTCACTTTACTACTTGTGGCAGCAAAAGCCTGGAGCACAGTTCTGGCAACATGCCATACAAGTACAGTATGTCATACACTGAGAGACTCCCTGGGTACTGTCATGAAAAATGGCCAAGCCATGGGTTTGGTTAGAATGTTAACCCCACACTTCAACCTGGTATCAAATCGACCAACAAAATCCATAGAAAGCTTTTGAATTGCAGCCAGTATTTTGTTACATTACTCTGATATTCTTTCAATCATTTTTTTGACCCTTGGAAGTGAAAAACTACATGTACAATGAGCTGCACACAGGCTTGAATGCACTCGTTATATTGTTTGTTTCGGCTGCAATCATGATAATAATGCAATCTTCAAACCTTTTCATTTTCTCTGTGTCTTTTATATTTCTTCAGAAGCATGCTAATCAGATAAATGTAAACAGAGAATTAAGCAGCCAAGAACAGTTTGACAGCTTGTGAAAAGGAGCCTTCCACATCTGTGCCACCACTGCTGTGAAATGGAGACAGACAACAGGTGGTTGTGATAGACATGGTCTGATGGGCGCTGTTTGTTCTCCAGCACCCATCACTAGGATCACATTTTAAAGCACGAATAGCAACCATATAATTTCATGTAGTAGCCAGCCCCCATTTTTCCATCAATTGCCAGAACTTTGCAGTGTGTAACAGAAAAAATCCGCCAACCTTTAAATCCCATGTCCTGCAGTACCCATATATATATATATATATATATATGGGTTGCACATACATATATGGGTTGCACATACATTTTGTACAGTATCTTCTATATAGTGCCCTGTGTATGTACGATTTGGGGGTGTTTCTCGTTCAACGCATCACACCACAGCGAAACGCAATGAATGCGGAAGTAACTACATGTATGCCACTGCAGGGCAAAAAAAAGTCAAGGGTCTGTGACCTGATTACTTGAAAATATTGTGTAAAAAAGTCCAGCAGGACAAGGGATAAGGACAAAATCAACAAAAATCTTCCCCCATGATTTGTCTGTTAAAATGCCAGAAATTGAGTTTTGAAGACTTGAAAATGCACAATTTCCCGGGGTGCGTACCCCCAGACTGTCCGAGGTTGCGAGTAGCGAATGTGCTCCCTACACCCAGATCCAATCATGGACCTGGGCTGACAGAAAAAAAATTCAAGCTGGCTAGAGCTCTGATGTAGACCTCCTATTTGTTCTGGATATTCCTCTAAAGTGTGCAGGTTTGAAACACAAGTCTTGTTGTAAATTGCATCGTTTTATTTAATCACCTGTACTTCCAAAGTCTCACCATATTCACTCTCGATTGCACTTATTTGCATTTTAGTACACCTATGGCGGTGCAAGTGCCCAGGTTATAGATGTGTGGGAGTAAGAATATTGATTTTTCAGGAGCACTATTATTGTCGGACCTAAATGGGTGCACCTGTGCATTCAATAGTACAATCTAGGTCAAGACCTGATGAGAACTACGTGCTCTCATGGTATTACTCATACTGCCCTGCATGGGAACTACTGTAGGGCTGCGTACCTTTTCTTAACATCACGTACAGGTACAGGGGTTTTGGTCCAGGTCCGGACCTGTACCTGAAAATTCACGCACGTCACAATGTTCTACTGAAATTCTTTAATAATGACAGAAACATGAATAAAGTGTTGACAATTTGTCCTGTATCATTCATAGAACATCAAATCTAACCGTGTTGCGTCCTCACTCAGCGGCAAGGCTGGAGTGGCCAGCTCTCCAGGGCGCGAAGCCTGAGCCAAGGTATGGGGATCCTGGGTGCCCAAATATAACCATGGATGATATAACTAGGTTTCCTATCTCACTTCTCACTAGTTCTCAGTCACCCTCTTAGTGACCCACACTTACTGAACTTGGGACAAAACGTCATAAGTTGTGTAAATCTCTTTATTTTAACGCTGGCAGGCCTCCTTGTGTATGGTGATCAAGTATGAATTTTTGTTCTGGTCCAAAAAACCGGTCCACCGATGTTTCGTTTTTTTTCGGACCGGACTGGACCGATACTATTTTTCCGGTACGTACCGGACCACCTGGACCGGTACGCAGCCCTAATGGGAACCACTGGTCCGGGAGAAAAGTAGTTCAGTATGGGTCTATTAGATATAATGTCTGCAAGAAAATCAAACAGTCACTTTTTATTTCAAATCATAATTTGTAAAACTGTTGTATGGGGCCTATGGGAGCTGTAAAATTAATGTCTATGTCAGATGAGGCTATAATAAAATTTTACAGGCAATTTTGCGTTAATTTTCCATCTTTGCAACCTCATACTGATTGATATGATTAAGAATTCTGCTTGAGAAAATGTCTAATTTTTGGCTTGAAATGTTCCCTGGGCTTGAAATACTGGGTGCACATGCACCTTAGTGCAGGTAAAGTTGAGGCTGTGCAGTTTCTGACATCTTAACCTACATGTAGTCTTATCAAAAAGTATTTTGAGTCCTGTCATAGGAGCTCTTCACAGAATTTGTTTTGAAAGATCCATTTTGCCCTGTGCATTAAAACAACGTCACAAGTCAACTAAATAACTAATTTGGTGCAGTGGCCAAGTACTAGTATATAGTATTATAACTAAGGCCATGTTGCTTTGATTATATGGATGACATCCTCCGGGAGCCCCAAAACTGATGCGCGCGTGCGAATAAAAAAAAAGTTTTGCAAAAAAAAAACACGTTCTTTTCATTATGAAATCTACGTGGTCATGAGGGTTGAGCAAATGGCACA